CATTTTACATGTCATCTAAAAATGAACATCCTGTTTAAAATTATTTTTTTTAAATACTTAAAAAGTTGCTATAATATGGAACCCTGATTCCTTGGTCTCTGTGAGTCTATTTTAGGCAAATTTCTTTCAAGTTCATCCAACTAATGATAAAAGAGTCTGCTTCAGACACAACCTGGTATTGGGTGTAACAAATGAACAAGATCCAGTCTCTGCTCTCAGTTTATAATTTAACAGGGAAGAGAGTAACATCTAATTAATTGTGATGAATGCACAAATTAGAACATGCCTTCCTGTGTATGTCCAGCTCCACTGAAAGAAGCCACAGCTCAGCTGAGGGGTGTTGTATGCCTGTGACTCCAGCTACTCAGGAGACTGAGGCAGGAAAGTCACAAGTTCAAGGCCAGCCTGGACAACTAAGCAAAACCCTGTCTCTAAATAAAATAAGGGATGGAACTGGAACTCAGTGGTAGAGTTTTAACCTGGCAGGTAATAACCCCTAAGTTTGATCCCCAGCAACTGAAGRAAAAAAAAAAGCTACAACCCATGGCTGACAGTTGGGGCAATTGGACTTTTGTGTTTATGTATAAAATAAAGATAACAAATTACCTACTTCTCATTGTAAAGGTTAAAGGAGATGATAAAGGGCTTAGCAAAGCAACTAACTGGGAGCAGGGGTTTGAAAAATATGTATCCAGGCACCATCATATATGCCTACAGACCCTGAGACTCAGGAGGCTCAGGTGGGAGGATCACAAATTTGCGGACAGGGGCTGGGATTGTGGCTCAGTGATAGAGTGCTCGTCTAGCACGTGGGTTTGATCCTCAGCACCACATAAAAATAAATAAATAAAATAAAGGTATTGTGTCCAACTACTTCTAAAAAAAAATAAATGTTTWAAAAAAATTGAGGCCAGCCTCTGCAACTTGTCAAGACCCTATTTTAAAAAGTGTAAAGGACAGGGGATATGACTCAGTGATAGAACCCAGGTTCAATCCCCAGTACTGGGAGGTGAGGGAAACAAGTACAGTGGTATAGGCAAGGGTGGAGTTATTCTGGCTTGAGGTTCTTCTGAGTCCCTCCTACTACAGCAAAGAGTACTTTTGGAACAGAAAGTCACTGCAATATGAACCCAAGATGGCCAGATAGAAAGTGGTTAAGCTCAGCTCTATGCAAAGCTGAGGCCACACTACCGGGTTCCAAACCAGATGTGCCACTTTTATCTGGAGGATCTTGGGTGAGGCTCTGCCTTTCCTTATCTATAAAGTCAGGATAATTGTACCTATTGTGTAGGGTTGTTCTAAGTATGTCACATGAAGGGACTGATGCATGTGATGCTTAGAACTGTCCCTGCTGCCTGGCAGACACTGCATGTGTTAGTCATTACCGTGATGACGAATCAATGGCTGCAAATCTCTGGGATATTTCATCCTGTCCAGAAGACAAGCCAGCTGTAGGAAAGCGTTCCTGGGCGAGGACCCAAGATTCTCTGCTCTCTCTTTTGTCCTAGACTCTCCCTTTCTGCCACAGTTTTCTGCAGCCCTTTTCTTTCCTGCCTCAGCCCCATATCCTTCTATTTCCCAACACCCTAATTCCTGTGCTTTCTCCCAGTCTCACAGGACATCCAAGTCCCAAAGCCGCTGAATCAGTCCTGTTGTACCTACTGGTTGCTGGGAGGGTTGTCGTGGAAACCATGGTCTGCTCCATAAACCTCTAGGAATGAGGGAAATGACTTGGAGGAGTGTAGTCTATTTATTATATTCATTTGTTCCTTTCTCTTTTTTAAAGCCATGCATATGAACATATTCCCTTCAGCAGTATGTATTCAAACACATGCAAAATAAACACCTAATCAGAGAGCAAAGGAGGCTGAGGTTACTAAACCCAGTCTTGCCCACAATACAATTTGTCCAGACCCCACACTGCTTCTGCTGAGTTCATCTGACCTCCCTTTTGCCGGCTTGCATAGCCTGCCTTTCAGAACACTGCCTGGCATCATGAGATGATGGTCTGAATCCCAGGTTAGCCTCTTACCAAATGCTTGATAGGGAACAAGTCACTTATTTTCCCTGAGCCTCATTTTTCTCAACTCTAAGATGAGAATCACAAAGTGGTAAAGACTGAATGAGGTCACATTTGTATACCAGCCAGCTGCTACCTAGTTGAGTCTAAATGCTTCTTGGAAAAAAAAAATTTAAAAAGTGACAAGACTTTGAGGCAAGGAGATCTGGGTGTTTGGAATGAAAAGGTTGGAAAATGACAGAATTATGTGTTTAAGATAATTATAAGTTTAAGATAATTATGTATTTAAGATCTTAGGAGGCCAAAGAGGAAACATAAATTGTGAAATATTATCTCTCAACAGAAGAAAAACAGAAACATTTTGTAGTTACTAGCCCATTGGCTGTCAAGACCAAGATTTCTAATGACAAAATTCCTCTGTGAACAGGAATATCATATTTCTTCCACCCAAAATATTCCAATAAAAGCATTTATAAAACAAGACCAAAGAGAAAGTTGTYCTTTATTACTATCCAAGTGCATAAGAGAAAAAGATGAATGGAGAGAGATTCATGTTACTTGTCATGTTTTAACACAAATAGTCACGGTCAAGGCTCCTAATAGTCTCATCAGAGAAAGATTTTCATGGCTCTTTCTTCATGATTAACTTGGCCACCAACCCAGTGACTGAAAAAAACTTAATATCTAAAAAAATTAGGAACGTTTACACCTTATGGGAAACCCTGGCTCCAGGTTTAGTTCCACAACTGACAAAGAGAATATTYATGAACCAAACTTTTCTTTAAAATGTCAAATTAGCCAGAAATGGTGGTGCATATCTGTAATCCCAGATATGCAGGAGGCTGAGTCAGGAGGATCGAAAGTTCAAGACCAGGCTCAGTAACTTATCAAGGTCATGTCTCAAAAAAAATATTTTTTTTWAAAAAGGGCTGGGGATATTGCTTAGTAGTTAAGTACCCCCTTGGTACCACAAAAAAAAAAAAAGGGTGAGGCAGGGATTGTGGCTCAGTGTTAAAGCATCCCACCCAAAAAAAAGTCAAGTTAGAGGACATAGCTTGCTGGTAGAGCATGAGGCCCTGAAATAAGATTTTTAAATAAAAACAAAATGCCAAATTAGAAAATTTATATGGAGAGTATTCAAGTGGCCCCCCACATAAAAATGCAAAACATAGGGAAGATGTAAATTRAAAACAAAAATTTTAAAGATACAAATTGTGAAAATATCAGTATGAAATTTTACTAGGTTCTAGGCACTTTTCTAAATGGGCATCTACAGACCATAATCTGAGAGAATGATTCTCACTAATTAGAAGTTATTTACTAATTTAAGTTCATATGTTTCATAACCCTGACTCTATTATCCTCCTTTCCTAATGAAACAATCTCAGTTATTATAGATTGAATACATATTTGGTAGTTGAGAGATGTTTAAATACAAGCATGCAAACTTTATAACAGCAAGTTTCATTGCAAGATGTTTTCCATTGTCTAAAMACCAAACAAACAGAAAACAAACCAGGCAGAAAATGTTTCCATTCACCTGCTTTTCTCAAGAAGCCCAAATRGATTAGGCAAATCGGTCAACATTGATTATTATTGGTTTTCAGAGGAAGCACCAGTTCCTATCACAAGAACACTACATTCACTTCTGTGTGCAAATCTGTGTCTCTTCCAAAGGATGATTCAGATTAGCCAGAGACAGTACCAGCTAGAGGCACATTTATCCTCCAGCACCAACTCATAACTCCCCAACACAAATACATTGCAAACACTTAGATTAAATTTGCTTTGCAAGATCCTGGGTTTCTGAACAGAGCTCAGTGCCATGAGTCAGTGCCAGGAGTCAGAGTATGTTTCTGGTCCCAACTCTGTCACACCCATGTGACCATGGATCTCAATCTCCTCTTGTGCAAATGAGGAGATGAGGCCAGCTGATTACAGGTCCATTTCAGACTGAATTCAGAATGGGAGCAGGCAGCAATATATGCTGTTCAGTCCCCTTAGAAGTAGAACATTTTAGGCCAACATGTAAAACAAAGCCTAAAACAGGGTCATGTTAGGTGTTCGTTCAGCAGAATGGCAGCGGAAGGGATGTACTAAAATTCCGTTCACTTCTGAATCTCTGGTTTCACGTGGGTTAGTGTGAGCATGCTTGTGTGTATAGGTGTTGCCCACAGGATGCCAATAAGCCCTATGTGTGAATTCACCATGGGGGCTTTTCACATCAACTCAGAAAACACACAGCCAGAATCAGAAGAAAGATGAACGGCCTTAACAAGATTTAGTGTTCCGGATACCAAACGAGTGAGACAAGGCATTTTTTAAGTATACTCAGTTCTGTATATCCTACTCTTTAAAATTGTGYTTTTGCCACCTTGATGGCCTATTAAACAAATTCATTAAGAGTTGTGAGTGAAGAGATTTCAGTACAATTTTTAAAAGATAATGGGTTTTTTAGACATCAATTTTAGGAAGATGGCCCAAGAAATAAACTATAATTACTATATCATTTTTCAACTTATTTTTAATCACCCCCCCCCAAAAAAAACACAAATAAACAACCCTGAGGGTAGATTTAAATTTAAAAAGAAACAGTCTCTCCGAGTAACTTCTGCAGTAGAAGAGTTGGCTCTTTCGGCAGACGCACATGAGTGACTCTTAAAAAGTTTATTCTAAATTGTGAGGGAGTTAATCTAGGCTCCTCCTTCCAGATCCTGCTGCTCRGAATTCTCAGGTCCCCAAGATTAAACTGTGCTAAAGTCTGAGCTGGATCAATTTCCCTTTAAGAGACAGAAGGCAGTAGAATACATATTGAGTCCTCCACCCCAACCTTCCCCAGTGCTGCAGTGAGCTCCTGTTTGCATCCCAACAGGTGCAGCAGAATGCGTTCCTGAAAGGAACTGGGTCGAGTTCGAAGCTAGACACCAGTCTTCCCCTCGCTGTCTTGAGTGACAGCCTTGTAAGTGGTTCTTCTACTTACCTTTTTCACAAGGTAGCCCTCCCTGATCTGCTTCGGTTCCATGCCGATGGACAGAAGGACAGACGGTTCCCTTCTCAGACAAGTCCTCTCAGAAGCTCACCTTCCTCTGAGACCCCAGGCGGTTGTGGGCTGTCTTTTTCACAGTGAGGTCTCTTTCACAATTTCCCTTCTGCTGGTGATCGCATGATCACATCCTCTTCCCCTCAGTGGGCTGGAAGAGCAGAATAAGGAACTGTAGGGCCAAACAGCCCAGGCTTTGCTCATACTGGAAACATTAAAAATACAATTGGGTGCAATATTTGCCAAGATAAAATTTTATTACCATAAAGAAAAGCATTATCTTTTTAAATTTTTTTCCTAGAGAGAAAAAAAAAAAACAATAAAAAGAAAAGGCAGATGAACAAGAAAACTTTATTGGTAGAAACCATCCTGCTTAGGAATTGTTCTTGAGACCCTGAAAATGTTTAATAACAATACCAAGAAATCCAGAGCCATCTGATTAGCATAACTGAGGTACCTGCTGTTAAGTGAACATCTACGTCTCTCCCAGGCCCTGTACCAGGTRTTTGTCAGCCTACCTTATTTAATTTGGTCTTCTTAGGAGCCCTATAGGAGCCAGGCAGGGTGGTGCACACCTGTAATCCCAGTGGCTCAGGAGGCAGGCAGGAGGATCGTGAGTTCAAAGCCAGCCTCAGCAAAAGGTACTAGGACAATCAGTGAGACCCTGTTTCTAAATAAAATACAAAATAGGGCTGGGGATGCAGCTCGGTGGTCAAGTGTCCCTGAGTTCAATCCCCAATACCCCCCTCCACAAAAAAAGAATCCCAGAGGGGAAGTATATTGCTGCCCCTATCTTAGAAATAAGGAAACTCAGGCTTGAATAAAGAAAGCGGTTTTCTCAAGATGACTCAGCAGGTGAGAGGTGAAACAAGAACAGAAGGGAGGAACCACACCAGGGTGCCCCTGCCTCCCACGAGGTATGACAGCAGTGCCCACAGTGGACACTCACCCCACAACAGGCCTATAAAAAGAAGTCTGCGATCAAACAYGTTTGAGAAACTGTTTTTTATAGTTCCAACTTGGTGAATGAGCTTACAGATTAACCAATTAAACATCAAGTACCACATAATGATTGCCATAACAGCTTCCCAAACTTGCTTGACTACAGAAATCTTTTTCGAACTATTCCTATAGACAATTTGGTTATGGATTGAATTATGTCTCCCCCCCCCAAAAAAAAAAGAAGTCATAACCTCAAGAACTTCAGAAAGCGACATTTTTGGAATAGGGTGGCTATAGATGTAAATAGTTAAGTTGAAATGAGGTCATGCTGGAGCAGAGGGGCCCTTAATCCAATATGACTGTTCTCTTTATAAGAAAAGGAAAAAAAAGAGCCACACAGAGAGAAAACAGTCATGTGATGATAGAGGCAGGGTTACAGTGATGAATTTAAAACTCAAGCAATGCCAAGGATTGCCAGCAGCCCCAGAAGCTAGAAGAGGCAAGCAAGGGTTCTCTCTTTGAGTGTCATGGAGAACATTGCTCTGCTGAATTGAAAACCTCCAGAACTCTGAGACAATACATGATGCTGTTTTCAACCACCCACTATGTGATGATTTGTTATGGCGGCCCTAGAAAACAAATGCACCTTTGAAAAGCTAACATTGAAGATGGGCAAGTTATTTAATCACTCTGTGCCTCAGTCTTCTCCTCTATAAAATAAGGATGATAGCACCTATCCAATGGGGTCATTCTGAAGATTAAATGAAACAATACCCATAATTTCAGAAGTGTCTGGGAACACAGTAAATATCCATAAATRTTAGTTATCCCTCATTTTCAAGGCAAGTTTCCATTTATCCCAGAATTGGCCCTTTTCAATAATTAGTTCAACAGAGATCATAGAAGTAATCATGGGACTAGATTTCTAACTAGTTCCCTTTCCTTATTATACCAGTCAGTGTTCTTTGACTGTAATTGACAAAAACCAATGTTGGCTACTATAAGCACATAGGAATTTACTGGAGGAGAATAGGATGGCTCACAGACATGAAGGAAAAGTGAAGACTTGGGTCTCTGGAGGGACAAGAACCAGGGCACTGCAGGATTCCAGAAAGTAAAAACCAACAGCCCATCTCTTTGGGGCATCAAGGTGAAAGTATTCTGGTGGTTTTTGTGGCCTGTGGCAATCTCCAGGTATCAGGGCGCTGAGTGACCTAGTTCAACTTGAAGCTTCCCTCTCAGGAATCTCAAGGGGTAGCTGTGGACTGATGGCCCTAGTAGGCCATGCGCCATGGGGGCAGGGGTTTTCCCCCAAAATAAAAGGAAGATGCAGAAGTAGGAGAAGAGTGAGAGGTCCCTAGACGGGGAAAACCAACAGATGTCCTTGAAGGTCCCAGGAGCCAGGAACATTAGGGGAAGGAAGAAGTTCAGTGCTCGAGATTCTCTGAGAACTTCCTGATTCATTCTCTTCCTTCTTTCCAACTATGTTTCTAATCAGCAGTCATGATTCCTCTATTTTTCAATTTTTTCCTATTAATATAGATTACATAAAATTGTAGATAACTTGCCATCCGTTTCTCATTGCACCAAAGTTAATTAGAAATTATTAGAGAGCATTGGAGTTAGAAGTAGAGGAATTAACATTTGATGACACCTGAGCAAAACAAAAAAATTAAAGGAATGATTTGCTGTGTTTACATTCAAAAAAGTATTTTGCTGTATCTGTACCGGCAATGGAAACCACCATCAATACATTAACTAAGTCTTATTCATGGCTACRTTTGTCTTCTTTTCATTGACCAACTGATTTCTAATTTGGAATCCTTTCTACTTTTGTCCTAGCATGATCAGAAGATGTATTAGTCAGTTTTCCATTGCTCTGACAAAATGCCTGAGATGAAAAACTTAAAAAGAAGAGAGGATTGTCTGGGCTTCAATCCRTGGTCACTTGGCCTCATCACTATGGAACTGGGGCAAGGCAGAACACCTTGGCAAGGGAACATGTGCTAGAGCAACACTGCTCACCTTGTGGCAGCCAGGGAGCAGAAAGAGAAGGGGCAGAGCTCCAGATATCCCCTCCAGGAGCACACCTCCAGTGACCTCACTCCCTTGCACCACACCTCACCTCTTAAAGTTTCAATGGTAACTATAACTTTATCAGCTGGGACCCAGGCCTTTAACACAGAGACCTCTGGTGTACACTTAAGATACAAAACAAAACCTTAGGTTTTTAAGTTCTTTACACAGAAATGTCATGCTATTTAAACTTCTTTTTAATGCCTACAGTATAAAAGTACTCCCTGTGTTCTGAATAATTCATTTCAAGAAACTTGGACTGAGTCTTATTCATGAATAAGACTTTACTATGTGCGAGGCCTTGGAATAGATGTAGGAATAAACGTCTTGGGACTCCCCAAATGTGTGAAGCAATGGAACAACTGGTGGATTAGATGTTGCCACTGGGCTCCTTCCCCTCCTGCCCTGGGTCATCATGCCTGCTTAGCAACACCTTGTGGTCAGTAGAGAGAACTGCCTGAATCGATAGGATTTGGGACCTGAGGGAGTTCCAGCAAGTGTTCTTTTTTGTCAGACCTCATGCCCAGGTCATTAGAACTTCTTCCAATATCTTTCCTCTGTACCTGGACAGGTTTACTTTATTAAACCTCATCCTGTCATTCTTTTGATTCTCCCACATTTGATCCATAACCTTGGAAACATTCTTGTAGCATATTTTATTGGTGTAAGGAAAAAGTAAGACTTTGGAAAAAAAAAAAAAGATTACTATGTGTTTCCAATGTAAAATTCTGTGTTATTTACAGTAAGCCTTCATAAGGTTGATTCTATGGTGTTTGTAATTTTCCTTGTCTTGGAATCATTTTGCAACTCTAAATTGCAGATAACTGACAGCAATGCAAATAATTCTTGCAAGAATGAAAACTCCATTTCCCTAGACCACCTCTACCCTTTTCCTCATCCCAGTACCCTCCCATGGAAAAAGTCAGTTTTGTGTCTAATTAGAATTGCACTTCAACATTTCTTTACTCCATATAAATTTGTCTTTGATCTCTCTTTTCAATGAGTTGTGACATCTGGCTGGTTCCTTATCCCATGCAGGAGTTAACACTTCAATAAATTTTGATTTTTCATATGTAAGAGTCACAGTTGTATCTCTTCTTAAAATTTATTCTGGGGCTGGGGATGTGGCTCAAGCGGTAGCGCGCTCGCCTGGTATGCGTGCGGCCCGGGTTCGATCCTCAGCACCACATACCAACAAAGATGTTGTGTCCGCCAAGAACTAAAAAATAAATATTAAAAATTCTCTCTCTCTCTCTCTCTCTCTCTCTCTCTCTCTCTCTCTCTCCTCTCTCACTCTCTCTTTAAAAAAAAAATTATTCTTTAGCATTGGCAACTCAAAAAAAGACCTTAAATTTAGCTGAGAAATATCAGTGCTAGTACTGATCCTAAATTAAGGGAAAGATGTCCAAACCTGTGAAGAGTCTGATATTTTACCCAACTGCAAGCTAACAAGTCAGCCTGCCAGTTTTGTCAAAACAAGTGAAGATATAGATACAAATACAGATATAGATGTAGATATTGTTTTGTACAGGGGATTGAACCCAGGGGTGCTTATCCACTAAGCCACATCCCAGCCCCCCTTTTTAATTTTTTTACTTATTCCAAATAGTTACAAATGACAGTAGAATGCATTTTGACACATTATAGATAAATGGAGTATAACTTCTCATTCTTCATACACCATGTAGAATTATAACAGTCATGTAATCATATATGCACATAGGGTCATAATGTCTGATTCATTTTACTATCCTTCTTAGCCCCATACTCTTTCCCTTCTCATACCCCTTCCTCTGTCTAATACAAAGTAACTCTCTTCTTCCCTAGCCACGCCCCCAACTTATTGTGAATTATCATCTGCATATCAGACAAAACATTTGAGCTTTATTCTTTGGATTGGCTTATTTTACTTAGTATGATATTCTCTAGCTCCATCCATTTACTGGCAAATGCCATAATTTCATTCTTCTTTATGGCTGGTAATGCTCCATTGTGTATATATACCACATTTTCTTTATACA